GTAAATCAGTTTACGGATATCACCGATTTTGAAAAATAATTTTTAGGTTATATGGAAAAAAAATTATTCCGTGGTAATTATAAATGTTTTTGGCGAAAAGTAAATTTTATATATTTCCAAAACGGGCATAAAAACATTTTAATTTTTTGTCTTGTCAACTTTAATTAAGTAATGTTTTTAATTCATTCAATTGGGAATTGTTATCATTATTATTACAACATAATTATTATATAAGCTAATGATAAAAAATACAATTAAAACTAAATAGAAAAAAAACTATCAAATTCATATCGGAAATGGAAATTTTAGTTAGGTGAATACTTCAAAAACTCCAAATGAAACATATCACCATCAATAAAGTCCGTTTAATTTTATAATACTTATTATTATGTAGCACTCTTGTAGTTACACCTATTTGCCAAAATTGATTAGGGTGCAACCAAACGTCACACCTCAACTGAAAAATAGTTATTTAACTACATATTGGCACTGTTTTTTAGATAAATCTGTTAATTATTTAAAGGTGATTTAATTAATAAACAATGCTCAAAACTCTAGCAAAATTTCATAAATGCATTCTGATTTCACAGTACACCAGATTTTACGGGGGATTTACCCTTCGGACATTTCCCAAGTGTCGCATAGGTGGGAACCGAAAGGGAACGCGCAAAGGCTCGTTTTCGGTCAGACATTACGGAATACCCTGTACATTATCTGGCTGGGTGTGTTCCGTATTTAAATCTGCCACCGAAGTTCGTTCAACTTTAGACGACGTGCGTGGCGAACGGCAAAAACTCGATATCAAGTGGCCTGTTTCCGTTTGACGGAGCGGGACGAAGCGGGGTTTATCTCATTCACGACTGCCGCTGTGCGCAAAACTTTAGGCTCTACTATATCCCCAATCCGCGCATCGACAGTTACCTAACATACACCCGTTTCTTTTTTCGTCAAATTACGAAAAAAAAAAATTATTGGCACCGCAGTGTAGCCTCTTTGCAGCACCTAAAACTTATATCGTCCAGTTCAGATTTAAAGAAATATTTTCAAATTGACACCATATTATTGAAATTATACAGAACTGTATTTCAAAGCCATAGCTAATAATCAAATTATTATATATTATTATTATTATTTAAAAATACAATGAAATTAATATTTATTTATTTACATTGTGCGTTATGAAGCCTTCGCCTCGTCCTGAGAACTAAATATTTTTTAATGAGATTTCCCGAATCGCTAAGTATGGTAATTCTTTGAATAATTTATTATAAAATGCACATTATTATTAAATAATGGTAGATAACACCCTACAATTTTGACTAGCCAATGAAGAAGCGATCAATTAACCAGGCCCAACACTAAGTGTGGCCAAAACATTTTTTTTGAAAAAATCTTTATTAGTTACGGTATCAAGCACATTCTAAATCTAGGCTACATCCGAGGCTATATCTAAATATCCGACAAAGGCGAAAAAAAATATACTGCTGGCAAATGAGCAACATAATATACTATCACTAACATAACAATATTAATATTGGTATTAATAAAACCGTAATCAGAAACTGTAAAAAGTACTTTAGCAGTATCCATATATCTGTATACATATAGAAACGGATTGCAAAAACTCAAATTTTATTACAAGAGTTGCACATGAACTTTCACAATAACCCATAATTAATAAAATATTTATAATTAGTCTTGGCTAACACTTAACAGATTTTTTAAAATTAATTAAATAAAGTGTGATTTAAACAACTAACAAATTCGTTAGACGAAGATGCATTTTTTATATTTTCTGGTAATTCATTCAATTCCGAAGAAGCCCGGAAAACTGGATTATAGAGTTCTAACCAATATACTGTGCTCTGGAATCATAACAAAGATAAGATTTGATTTATATTTTTGTGTCTTTTTTTATAACTCTGTATATTATATTTACATATTCTACTTAAAAGTAGAGCACCCAATCAACCCTCTGTCTAGATTCTCCGTGTGCCAGTCTGCCATATATAAAGATAATTTTAATATTTTGTTTTGGAGGATTTGCTTGGTCTTGGAATTAGTCGGACTATAATTTCTCCATACAGGAAAGTGGGATAAAAAAAAATAACAGTAGGCATTCACTCTATAGCGAGCAGTTAGATCATTTAGAAATCTACTGTATAGTTCGCTCAAAGATATACCGCTTTTACGACATAATCCGGTATTTAACTTTGGTAAATATTTATGAAGGTCTAACCGCAGGCCTACCTGGTTTTCTCTTTGCAACCCTCAATCAATAGTTTCGCAATGACATTCCAGAACCGTACTTCGGTACTTCGTGCATATAAATGCTGAAAACTGTCGGATTTGTGTAGGGTTTCATCGGTGAAAATCCTCGATTATTATTAGTTCATGCAGCGAAAAATCCATCCTTTAAAATGTTTATTATAAATATAAATGAAGGAGTAAATTTGGCTATAAAACAATGTTTATTAACTAATAGAAATTTCAAGAATTTTGAATATTTGGATATTATAATTTTTGGGTGCTAATCCAAAAGTTTGCTGACAGCTGGCGAGTATTCGTCCCTTTTCATCGCAAAAGATTCGTTTCTCGTTTCATATTAATTGTCCGTCAAAAAACAATAGACCATGTGTCTCCATAGCAATAGGTCCGTCCATGTTGGCCGCCGTCAACCGCCTTTTTTTATGCGTCCACATCTGGTTTCACCGGAAGCGCGCCGGACTTGCGTTATCGACAGACGCACCCATTGTACAAGCGCCTTTATTTCGATCCAAATAAGGTTAATTATATGGGGAAGGTTTGTTATAAAAAAATGAGAGACATTTCGGGCGTGAAATCTGGTATATCAGGTCTATCAAATCAGTGACATCTTTGTATTATCTGTGAAATCTGTGAAATGTTCAAAAAATTAGTGAAATATCTGTAATCATAAAGTATTTCTAAGATTTTGTTGTATTTTTGATTTTTCATTTTCTAAAGGGATTAGAGGCGAAATTCTTTACGGGCGCCTTGCGTTATGAGCGATAGGGTGTGTGGGACTCCCTGAAAAGATGTGCGATCCAGGTTTGAATACTAAAACACTCACACAATCATCCCTCATGTTATAACGTATTTTTCTTTACCTTTGCTGGAAATATTTTATTGAATTGATATGTTTTGAGATCCAGGGTGTCGAAGTATTTATAAAAAATCGCCTTTTTATTGATAGGTAGAAAAAATCCTTGTACACCGCCGCTATTTTTAAGATTAGGCAAATCAAAATTCAGATTGTTTTGCCTCTCTAAGTTTTTTCGGTAACCTGATTTGTTTTTGAAAAGAAAAATAAAACCCATTTCCTGCATATTCCTGGACATTAACCATCCGAACAAAAATCTTTTTAAACTTTATTAAAATGAGCGCCATGCTAAAACAAATAAACAATTGGGTATCTTGTTTTTGTAGGAGGACAAAAATTTTTTTAATAAAAATCTGGTCAAAAATTAATCAATTAATTAATTAATTCTAATCTACTTGACTACTGCAAGTAAACAATAAAACATCGTATAATAATAAACAAATTAAAGTGAAAAAATATACATACACTTTTTTTTTCATTTCAGTTTCCTAAAACTGAAGGGAAAAAAATATAAAGACTAAATTTTGAAAAAAAAAATTTTGGGTCCGTTTTGAAAATATATGGCTATAATTCTTTTGGCACGTTTTTTTAAAAACACATCTGTTTCAAAAAAAAAGTTCATATAAATTTATAAAAGTAGGCCCGGAAATGCTGGGCTTCCAAGACACGGCTGTTAAATATTTAAGAAAAAAAAACGACTCTTGTAGCAGAGTGCGAAAATCTTTACGACGTAGACCACGTGTCCTGTTCCATAAAAGTCAAAAAATGACAATGTTCGCGGATTGATAACGATGTGCAAAGCGGCCCTTTACTATATAATAAATTAATCATATATATAATATATTTTTTACGAGATTTTTTTATATTAAACAAAGCGTATCACTTATTTTTGAACAAATTTAAGTACATATACATGTTTTTACGTTTGAAGAAAAGAAATTGTTTGGAACTCGGAACGGTAATACCTATTTTGGTGATATCGACTATTTAGTACTCGATCAGCAAAGTTTAAATGCGTATCTTGGAAACGAAGCATTTCCGGACTTTCCTTTTTTTTGGACGACGAATTTCCGGCCGAGCGTTGACGCATATATTTTGAAACAGTCTGTAAACGTAGAATGAGAAACAGAAACAGATCTGAATCTTTCGGACCCTAAGCCTCAAACGTGTTTACAAATACAGAATCCGAAACCCGTTATCACCCAAAATATTTTTGGATAGGTGCTTATCTTATTTATTCTATATCGCCTTCACCAAATTCCACAAGTCAAACTTACAATCTATAAATATTTTCATTGACTGCCCAGTTCAATCCGAATTGACAAATTTCGGAGGTTAGAGGTGAACTTGTTTATCGCGAATGACAACCCGGTTATGTAACATATTTATTCTGTCTAATTTCAAAAATGCGGCAAATTTACGGAAAAAGTTACAGACGAGTCATTTAACTAAATATATTATAAATGAAAGAGAACAACCTGCAACCTTCCGTTTTGAAGAGAAGTAATGACAATAACCAAAACTGAGAATAAGCTCAACTCGATGACATCTTTAACGAAAGTTGACCAATTATGTCGCTCTAATTAAACATGCACAGCGACTACGCTGTTTATATCGGGAAAAATTAATATTTAAACTCGACGCAACTCAAAAATAAACGGAGATAATAATATCGTTAAAACAAATTTCATACTTAAACGAATAGGTATACGAGGGTTATTTTTAAATCGAAATAAAATATGAAACGCTCCAAAACGGTGACGTCTTTTAAACGGTCACACACGCACAAACATATTGCACCTCTCAGTCACCGAATGGTCGCGATTTGTTTACCAATCTCGTGCCAACGTTACCGTCTATGCAGACACGGTCCACTTACCTTTGGCGTCTTCGCTCGCTGCAACGAATTTCCAATTCAAATATTCGCCATTAACGAAACGTCCGGCTTTCCACAGGTACCAAAACGCACACTGCACTTAAATTTAACGGGGTTGTCGACACTCTAACCTTGTACCGGGGCGGTTTTCCGGACCGATCAACTGTTGCTCGCAGCCCGCGCACAAATAGCGGCGGCCATGTTAGATGGCTCCCCGTAAAATTTCGAGTTTCTCCGTCGTTGTGACGCGAACGGTCCGATTTTTCGATCCCGGAACCCGTCGAAAACGAAATTGCGACGCTCAATTCGCAAAAATGTCCGCTTGCCGTTGAGAAAAACCCGTGAAAATTACTTACCAGTTGCCGATCGGATCGGTTCCATCGGCCTTCTGCGCTGCGCGCGACAACGTTGCCGGATGTCGACGTTGCCGCTTCGATTGCGATATTTGAATGAGAGCGTGATTGGAATTGAATGCTTTTTTTAGTAGACGTATTTTTATTCAATTAATTCGTAGTTATTTGTCGCCGAGTAGCGAAGCTGCATTTCCGAGTTACGGGTGAGACGGATCGCGTTGTGGTTTGCTTTTGGCGATAATGAGGATTAAATATAAATAATAAATATAATAAATAATAAATAATTGCTTATCGTTAGATTATTAATAACCAGTTAAGCATTAAATTGGGAATAAACCCAACTGAACGAAAAATCTTTACTAAAAATAGCCCCGGCGTAAAATTGCACCAATCAACCTCGAACAATTACCTCTTCCGAAGTAAAAAAATTGTTTAAAACTGCCGTCCGTTATTAAAACGCTGACGCGGCAACGTCGATTAAACACAATATGAATTCCGACTCGTGCGCAGTCGCGGGATATTGGCCTCGCCCGCCTGAATGTTGTGGTCTTTTTAAGGCACAGTTGCCGGCTCGACCCAAATTACGCGATTATCGTAAAACATTATATCAGCGGAGAACATTTTTTTTGCGCATTTACAACCGCCCAACGCGGTTCTGCGGCCGGTCAAGCGAAAAAAAAGTGCGGATACTCCATCCACGTTGGGGATTTCGAGTAGCGGCCCCCAAAATGGAACGCCACCGACGTCGTCCAGTTGGTTTCGTGGAGGATCGGGCAACGCGGCGCGGAACTTCCTTCTCCTCGCCCCGCGTTGCGAGCACCATTCATTTCCATTCATCGTCCGCCGCTTCCACATACGGAATTGGAAGGACGCTCGATCGAATGAATGAAATGATTGCTGGCGAAACGCTTTCTCGTAACTTATAATATGGCCTGGCAAATTTCAACTTGCGACGCTTTCCGATCGCTTTCGAACGTCCGAATGAAAATTCGAAGGCTGGGTAATAGAGTGGCGCGAGCGATACTTTTTTTTTTACGGAGCCACTCGGTTTTCGGACGTGTGGAGTTTATTAGTTTTACGATTGAGAGAACTGTTGGGAGTAAGGCGCGGGCTAGTAGTAGTACTATGGGCCGCTATGTTGTGCAAAAAAAATAACTTTGCCCGTTATCACCATTGCGAGTGTCCGACGAATTCTCCTGCTAACCGCCGGTATCCAGGTGCAGAGTTTCGTAGTCGTTGCTTATTTTTAAACGTCCACACAATGCGTAAATAGATAAAAGTAATTTACTTATCAACAGGATGTGACATCGACTAGATTTCGGTAAACAGGATATTATTGTTTATGTTAATGATTAACTCGTTATAGTTACGTATGTCGTTTTAAATTTCGTTTCTATTCATTCTATCGAACAAGCAATTTAATATTTTTGACAGCTCAGGATATTTTTTCGCAACGGCACGCAAGATGGGATCGTCTTTTGCGAAAAATGGAATAATAATAATTAATATGATTTTACTATTCCTAGCTTAACCTACAATATACTAATTATTTCACAATTAAATTAGAACAAAAATGTTCAAATTTTCACAGTTATTTTATGGGTTGTGACAGCTGTTTAGGCAACACCGTGTCTTTATCAAATACAAAATACGACACCATTCCGACATCTATATATGTATATATAAATAGGTAGTAATACATTCTTAATTACAGGTGTAGGGTTATAAATTCGAATTGAACAAGGGAGGCGCATTTAAATCCAATTGGTCATTAAGTAATAGATTCGAATTTCTCATTTTTTTTTTGCTTCATTTTGCTTTTGGATTCATTTTTTAAAATATCAAAAATATCGTTAAACTTGTGCATTTTTCAATTTAAATGAATTGCATGGTTAGAATCCGAACTTTTATTCTTTAACGCTCTTTTCTGTTCGTTAATGCGTTTCTTAAATGTTCTACCGATATAAATTTTAGGACATTATCCACATTACAACTTTTGGACTCCGGAATTTTGATTTTTTCGTGATTTAGTTTTATTTTCCTCTGCTATTTTTAGTTTTAAAATCAATCTTAAGACCAAATTTAGATACATGTTTCGAAATTTTCTTGCTAGGTTCTCCTATGTATTTTATTGTTTTATAAATTTTGGTTTCGGTGTTTAATATGGGATAGATAGAGTTCAAACTTATTATCAAAGAGAGGTCGGGTCGTAACCATTGTGAAATGTTATTTGTTTTATAATATTTAATACTTTTTCAAAATTTTCTGTGGAAAGTGGTATTTTAAGTAGTCTGTTGATAAAAGAATTAAAGGCAGCCATTTTGTGTGTGTGAGGTTGATTTGGGTTATTATGTATTACTGTGTCCGCGTGTGAGGGTTTATCGTAAACGGAAAATCTAAGTTCTTCTGTAATTTAGTTATAATTAATTCCAGAAAGTTCAAAGAGTCATCTAGTTCCGTCTCTATGGTAAATTTTATACGGTTATGTATGGAGTTAATATAATTCAAGAAGGACTGCAGTTGTCTTTCCGTTTCGGTGAAAGCAATATACAAATACCATACATCCAAAGAAATCTTTTATCACAGGGTGTTTATGTATGATAGTTTTTATATTGTCCATGAAAATTTCTGCAAGTAGTGGACTAAGTGGGCTTCCCATAATTAATCCTCACATTGGAAATATAAAATTGACCATTAAATTCAAAAATGTTTTGGTCTAAGCAAAATATTAAAGTAACTAACAAGTCTTGATTTATGATAAAATAGATTCTGGGCATCAAAGGAAACTAGAATTGCCTTAGAAGGAATGTTTTTAATTTAAAAGAATTTTTGATAACATATCTAGGTTTAAAGCCAATATGATATTCTAAAATTTTAAAAGTTTAACTGATGGTGTTGTTACAGAAGAAACTACAGGCCTAATTGGCATAGTCTGTTTGTGTAATTTAATTAATGATTAATTATAATTATGAGTATTTTTCCTTGCCATTAAAAACGATGAATCTATAATTACAGTTTTGATTTGTTTTTGATATAATTCGGTTAGATCATATTGTATACTTTGGATTATGTCTGGTTTAAGGAACTGTTTTGGTTTTAGAGAATCGATAGCTAGAGCTAGAGAATCGATAGCTATGACTGTCTTTCCGTTATCTCCTCATATAAATACCATATCAGTGCGTATTATTGAAAATGATCAGACGTCATTACAAAAACCAATTCAATTTGTCTTGTTGAGATTATTCAAAAATAAATAATCCAAGTTAATTATATTTGGAGGCTACTAAGAAGGGCATATTAGATTATGTTTTGAAAATACGAGCGCTTCGATATAGCATGTTTCTCACCATACTTGAATTTAATTCATGTGTCAAGTTGAATTCATCAAAAAATACTACATGTTTTGATCATATAATTGGTAACAATTTCAATTTCTCACAAAAAAAGGAAACGTGATTTTCAATTTATTAGTAAAGTCCAGTCAGAGCAATTGTGCAGTTACGTGATAAGATGACATCTTTATCTAGTTGATTACTGGATGTCGTAAACTGACACAGGAATTTTCTTTGTCACTTCACTATACGTGGCGTAACTGCTCAACCGTTATTACCGGAGAACATTCTTCAAATTTTAGCAATTTTGAAACACTATTTTTTTAGGACATGTTTGAGTCCTAAAATTTATAGGTTATATCTCGTATGTATTGTTGGTTGCATTATTTGGAACGATAATAATACAGGCTTCTTAGTTCCAATCAATAATACGTAACTCCCATGTTTTCCTAATTTAATTTATATTAATATAGTATGCTTAAAAATCCTAGAAAATTTATATGGTCAGATATATTCATATTTTCAAATCAACAATATATTCCCAGGCACCCAAAATGGTTTTCGTGAGAAACAGCATCTGTAAATTTTTCTCTCCCTACCGGACTACCTACTCTAAAGCGTTTGATACGATAGACCAGGGGTCTCCAAACTTTTCAGCCTTAGGGCCATATTGATAACGCCAAGAAATTCTAAGGGCCAAAACAATATTATCATTAATTGTCGCGTCGCCGGTGATAAAAAGTTGAATCAGTCCGCTGATGATGTAAAAGGAAGTTAATTTTTTGTCAGATGCCTCTAGCGATGGGGAAGTCTGATATATTATCTGTATCGCATGGGTTACCGTTATAATGGGGTACCCATATCGTATCGGCATAGTAATCATTGATTCCAAAAATAATAAAATACACAAGTAATCATTGATTAATTTATTCTTTAGTAATTGTTACTTCGGTTCCTAAAGAGTACTCAAGTAAAGAATGTGTAAAGTTTTACTTGCAAAAAAAAGTCCGAAAAAGTACGTCACGTTTAAAAAAGGCTGCAAATAGGACTAAAGTCCGCAAAACGGCAACACTGCGCATTATTAGTTTTCTGTTATGTTATGTTATGAGTAGTTAGCCCATGACCATATCAATGTAGATGTCATATTAATTAATATTCAACGTAAAAATAGATTACTTCAGTAAACTAAATTTATTTGCTATAAACAACATCTAATCTCTAGTAGATTTTTCTTTCAAGTATACAAGCTCTCCGCGGGCCGGACAAAATCTGTTCGCGGGCCGGATGTGGCCCGCGGGCCGTAGTTTGGAGACCCCTGCGATAGACTATCATCTTCTTTTGGGGTAAACTCAAGTATCATGGATTCGATCAGATACAGCAGGTGGTAGATGGCAGATTCTATCCAAGTATTTCCTGGAGTGGCACATAATATTGCAAAATACGTTGATGACACAAGTTTATTGTCGCTTTCAAATAAAACGTTTTCACCAGTATATTCAATATATTAATGAAGATCTGGAACTTGTGAAGACTCTTTAAGACTGTTAGTGTTTCGGAAAAGACAACCAAAACATTAAAAAGTAGTTCTAATATTAAAATTGCTCTTCACACATGTGTGTTCTGTGATTCCGCACGCAACCTTGCTGCCCCACTGGATTCTGAGTTTAAGTTTATTGATCATACCAAATACCTGGCGCAAAACTCATTTTTCTTTAAAGCTAATTTGCTGTAATAGAGAAATGTTCAATTTTAAA